CCTCTTTCGAATCCTCGGACAAATATTCCGACGAGCTAACGCCGTGCAAGTCGAAAGTGAGGTAGTTACAATAAGAAATACTTCTGCGATAAGTATGTATTAATAATAATAATAATAATAATAATAATTGTTACGTTCGGCGCGCGATCGCAATATTTTTTCGCGCCTTCTTCTTGCTCGCTCATCATTTACGCGCCGTACGATTTGCTTACGTACCGAAAATAACTCGTTGTAGCGCCGCGCTTACGCGAAGGCACCACCTCCCAGGCGACACACGCCGGCTAATTAATATATAAAATTCGCGCTTTAATCTAATGCCTCGATATGCGTGGAGGCAAGGCAATGTTTGCTAACGCGCCTTACGCTCAATTATATCGCGCTATCCCGATTAAATCGCCCTTTTCCTTCTAAATCTTATGCGATAATAAGGTGCCGCAGATGTGCGAGAGTACTACACATCACGTGTCACTCAAAGACTCGCTTGACAGATAGGGCGAAAACTGAGAAATCCTTGCTCTAATCCGAACGCGAGTGAACGCATGGGGATTTCTCTCGTTAGAATAATCGGAAAAATGTCTTTTAACTAATGTTCTGTTCGTAAGATTCACTTCACGATGTTGTGTTTTCGCACGACACTTTTCATGCACTTTTGCGTACTGCCGCGCGGTTCGTAAGTCCTCAACTCTGTTCGGAGACAGTGCCGTAGCGCGCTGTGCTGTCTCCACACTCCTCCCCGCTAAATCTTCTAGTCGTATCCGAAGCGCTGAGGTGGAAACCAGCATTGATTCTAGATAATCGGCGCGGTCCTAGTTCAGCTGGCTGGACAATGTTTTCCCTGCTTTCATCTTGGGCACTTTCGTACGAGGTGTCGGCATCATCGGAGTCCACATGAGCTGCTGCCTGTGGATGTTCGCGCTTAGGCCGAGGGATGATAAGTGGCTCGATGTCGGTGTCTGAGATGTCGTTGAGATGTCATTGACCAAATGCGTCAATGATTTCGTTTGGTGTGTGACGCAATTTGAGCTGATTTGCATGTACTTTCTTGATGACTCGTCCGTCTCCAAGTTTGATCGTGTAGTTGACGGTGTCTAGACGGTTGATGATTATCGCTGGCGTCCATTGCCAATCTGTGTTGGTTTTGTGTAGCTGGTAGTAGACACTTTCACCGATTACGAATTCCTTCCAGCGCGCTCCGTGAGCTCGGTCGAATTGACGGGCCAGCATTGTGTCACGCTGGGAGGACAGTTGCTCTTGAGGGTGGAGCAAGTCGAGGCGAGTTTTCATGGTGCGGCCATTCAATAACTCGGACGGAGACTTATTGCCGAGCTTGTAAGACGGTGTGAAGCGGTAGGTGGTGAGAAACTCTCGAAGCTTCTGGTCGGCGTTTCCAGTTGCCTTTTCCAGTCCGGTCTTGAGGATGTCGACGAAGCGCTCAGCTCTGCCATTCGACTGAGGGTGGTAGGGCGCTGTTAGAATATGTTCAACGCCTGATTGTTCACAGAAGGTTTTGAATTCCTGTGCGGTGAACTGAGGTCCGTTGTCTGTGACGAGCGTGTCGCAGAGACCGTGCCGAGCGAATGTCTCTCTGAGCATTTCGATGGTCTTGACAGATGTCATTGAGGCGGATTTGAAGACCTTTGGCCAGTTGCTGAAGGCATCAACGATAACCAGATAATAAGCGCCATTGATGAGACCTGCGTAGTCGGCATGGGTGCGAGACTATGGCTTCGTTGGAATTGGCCATGATTGTAACGAGCATTTGATGGGCGACCTAGCATTTGTTGCGCAAGCTTCACACGTCTTGACGGTACGTTTGACGTCAGCAGTGATTTCGGGCCAGAAGACTTTGCTGCGAGCAAGGAGCTTCATACGGGTGCAGCCTGGGTGACCAAGGTGGAGCTCCTCAAGGATCTGCTTATGGAACTGAGATGGAACGACGACACGATCGCCCTGTAAAAGACAATTCTGGCTAACAGTTAATGTTTCGCGTTGATCGAAGAAAGCAGCAACATCGGGATCCTGGATCTGGTTGCGCTTCTGTGGCCATGACGTGTTGGTGAATTCAATGACCTTCTTGAGTGTTGCGCAACGCTGTGTGGCCTCCTGAATATCGGCGAATTTGACCGGGAGTAGTTTTGCGGCATCGATTGCAAAGCATTGCTTTTCCTCCTCCCCCTCTTGAATTGCTGCGATGACAGTTTCTTTGTTTTCTCGTGGATGTTTGGCAATGAGGCGAGAAACGACGTCGGCGTATCCAAAGCTTCCGGTATTGACGTATTTAATGTCGAAATCGTAGGCGAGTAAAGTCAGAGCATAACGTTGGAGGCGGCTTGTAGTGTAAGCCAGGATGCCCTGTTTAGAGCCGAAAATCGTGAGGAGAGGCTTATGGTCGGTGTGGAGCTCGAATTTTTGTAGCAGCAATCGAATTTTTGCAGCCGTTGGCCAGTCACTTACCTCTGTTGTGAAGATTGTTTGGTAGCGTTTGTACCAGGATTCGAATGTTAGATTGTTGTCTGGGTCGTAGGTGAATGCGACCATTTGTTCGGCGAGGCTCTTGGCTGTGGTCGCAGCAGGTGTGATTACGGTGGTTTGCTCTCGCTGCGCGAGCTGCGCGATGAGTTGTTCGACGCGTCTGTCGCTTTGTTGCTGTTGGGTCTGCATCTGCTGTTGCTGCTGAGCGAGCGCTATTTGCATTTGCTGGCGATCGGCCTGCATTTCGCTGATGAGCTTTGCGAGATATTGTTCCATAGTGGTTTCAGGTTATGTTGCGTGAGTTGTAGAATCCTCGTCGCCACTGAGAAATCCTTGCTCTAATCCGAACGCGAGTGAACGCACGGGGATTTCTCTCGTTAGAATAATCGGAAAAATGTCTTTTAACTAATGTTCTGTTTGTGAGATTCATTCCACGATGTTGTGTTTTCGCACGACACTTTTCATGCACTTTTGCGTACTGCCGCGCGGTTCGTAAGTCCTCGACTCTGTTCAGAGACAGTGCCGTAGCGCACTGTGCTGTCTCCACAAGTCCTCGACTCTGTTCAGAGACAGTGCCGTAGCGCACTGTGCTGTCTCCACAAAAAACTATTATGAAAAACTAATAATTGGAATGCGAGCTTATCCTCGCGCCTCCACGCTCGCTAGCGGAAAACCTACCTGGCACAGCGTTTTCAGTAAATACAAACTAAAATTGTACTGAGTATTAAGGCAATATAATCATATTGATTAACGAGATATTAAATAATTGTGAATATGATTTATTGCCTATTTTTCGAGGACATTCGGCATTTCCACACACCGCGGCCACCAAGCTGGCCCTATATAGGTATAAGCGAGCGAAACCTCGCGCTCTTGTTCATTATTGTTCTATCTTCGATACCACTATAAGGTTCTTCGCGTGCGAAATCTTCTTGCGTCTGATTCTTGCGGCGTAAATTCGATCGCCTGTAATTGATTATTTAAATTTCGCCTTCTGTGTGACCGCGAACGCAAGAATAACAGAATTAATTGATTAATTTAAGTAGCGCGTATTTCGCCTCTTGTCTTTTCCATGCTGTGCATAGTGCAGCGTAATTCGGGTTATCAGGCTGTATCGAGTGCCCAAACAATTTCTCTTTCCTTTTGTAAACCGATCTTAATAATTAAGGGGATGCTGGACCCGCCTTTTTTATCGATAAAGCTAGCATTTTCGTCCCTGTCCAATTTCTTCGCAATAGTTTCACAGAATCAAAATACCTTCTCCACGATTAAAATATCCGAGCTAATGTATGTGTGCCTAGTGTCTTTTGTGTTCAAAGCTGGAAAAAGTAAAAAATTACAGAAATCTATATCCATTGTTATCTCAGCATGCAGTAAGTTCATTAAAACATTTACTTCGCAAAAAAGTTACACAGGTTATATGCTCAAAATAAGAGAAGGCACAGGTGTAGAATTGTAACGATGCCCCCCTAAAAATGCAATTCCTACGTGATGTCAACGGGAGTAAGAGCAAGGCGCCTGTTCATATATTAAAATTTATTCGCAGGTACAGCAGCTGCCGTTAAAACCGCCAGTCTCGCCGGAAAATGCCGACCGTCGTCGGGGACCGCCGATCGGAAATCTTCTCCCACGAGAAGCCGATCGGCGAAAAATACCGCGACCGACCGAAGTATTACGAGCGAGACTGGCGGTCTAATATAAAATATCGCGACGTCGAGCTGCGCGTGGCACTTTTCGCTCCGCCGTTCTCATCCTGACACATCCGCTCACAAGATCCTAGATCACGCTCCGACACCGATCCGAAGACTCGCTCGTCCGACGAACCTGAGGGGTAGGGTGTACCCTGCCTCTGCCGGGAGTTCCCGGCCGCCGAATGAGCCGTCCAGGATACGACTTCCGAGCGCGCGAACTTCCTTGTGACGTGTTGGTCTGACGAACCTAAGGATTAGGGCGTACCCTGCCTCTGCCGGGCGTTCCCGGCCGCCGGACAACCGTTGCCATTTATTAATCCTATCTTCTGTACCTTTTTTTCCGCATCCTGAAATTCCCGTCCTGGTACTTGGCATTCGAAAAGGGGTAGGGCGCTCCCTGCCTCTGCCGGCCGTCAAGTACCAGCTCCGCTTTCCTTCCGATTAATATTTTTGATTTACGCGTCGCGCCGCGAAACCACACTTGGGTGAGTTCTGCCGCGTTGTGAATCGCCGTAAAAACCCGCGACCGTTGTAAATATCCCGCGCGATTAGAATTAAGTCTCGTTGCATTATCCGCGTCCGTATTGCGATTGTATATATTTCTGTTATCCGCGTTCGCCTATTCTTCGTTCGTATCGCAGTGATTCCGTTCTCTGTATTATATTTTTATATGTTATATCTTCTTTTTGGTATTATCATATCTACGTTTTTCTTTGTTGTAATAAACTGTGTTCGTCAAACTATTACTTTCATATTATTTCTTTCTTTTTGCGATTTCCGAATTATCACATATTTTCCGCAACACCGATCCGACGCGAATACTCCTCCCGCCGAACCTTTTTTATACGACACGCATTCCCGACGAGCTAGTCCGAATATAAAAATCAGGTAGTTACAGAATAAATGAACGAATACAACCGTACCTTGAAAATTGTGTTTAGATGCTTATATAAAGAGAAATTAGACAGGAACAAATTTGTGTGTATAGGACGTGAAATATCGATGATGTACAGCAGTTTAGAGCAGCCAAATCGTTCTTGGATATCGATCCAGAGTGTGCTGTAATCAATAATCAATGGCAATGTCGATGAAGGGGGAGGGGAGACACGGCCGTCGCACCGTCGTCAGCTGACAGCTGGCGCGATTGCGAGGTTATGGTTTTCGTGCCTCTTGTAGGCTTATCGCGTTTCATGAGATCAAAGTATTTTCGGATTATCGATCTCAAGTCAATTCAATTCCACGATACGATCGAAAACGCTACAAGTGATTTTGGTAATTATGGAGAAAACGGCCGACCTCACCGATTTTAATGAAACTAGGCTCATTTGACGCGTTTTTGCACGAAACGAAAGAATCTGGCAGAAAAAAGTGTCGCTCTGCCCTACGAACCGAGATATTAAGCGTTCAAGTTGACGACTATTCAGGTTAGGAAATCTGTCATACCGACTACATGTAGTGTTACGAGTATATGCCTTCCTTATGCTCTCTGATCTCGTGCGCATGCGTTAAGTTGTCTGATTGGTAAGTGAAAAGTGTGGAACGAAATCTGAAAAAGATTTTCTTTTGTTATAACTGTTAAGAGATCGTATTAAAATGAAGCTGCACGAATTCTTAGCACTGACTTACGATAGAGAAAGATTAATAAAGTTTTTTTTATAGAAACCAATATTATAATATCTGAAATACAATGTCCTAAGTGCAATAGTAAATTAATAATTAATGTAAATATTCTTTTATTCCGCTGTTATAAAGTGCATTACAAAAAAGATAAACATAAGAAAAGAATAAAAACGAAGTGTGATTTTAAGACATCTGGGGTGCGTTCAGAATGAAAATTTTTCGTCCGGGCAAGGGTGTCCACAGGTAATGTGACGTCACACACTTGGACGTTTTCATTCTGAACGAACAGGACGAATCTGTAGCAGTGTTACTAGTGGGGCCGCGTTCTCTCTCTTTCTCTCTCGCTCCCATGGATGCATTTAGAATGAACCAATGAACGCCCGGACGACAACTTTTTACCTAAAAGCGTTCGATTTGACCGGATGCTTCGTCCAGACGTTTCACCCAGATCGTTTAGAATGGGTTTAGAAAAACACCCAGACTACAACTGTTCGTCGCACCCGAGACTGCGGCGAATTTCACCCGACATGCGCAGAGAAGACCTATTTATGCCTACGCAACTTATAAGAACCATATGATGATATGATTTGAGGCTATTATTATGTCTCACGCCATTTTAGCACCGAGGCACTTCCGTATTTAACCGTGATAAATAGAATAATATAAATTATAAAGAATAGTTTAAACTGTAATATA